AAGAAAGGAGAAAGAGAGGAAGGAAAATGAAGGACTTAAGACTTAAAAAAACACCCAAGAAAGAGAAAAAATAAGATGCAAAATCAACACAATGTTAGAAAGCAAAAGAAAAAAGGAATACAACAGAGAGGGGAAGCTAACAAGGCAGAGGTTAGGAGAGGGGGGGTGGGGTAAAAAGGTCAGGTGGGATAAGAAAGGAAGGGAAAAGGGGGGAAAAAGCCACAAAGGTATGAAACAAGATGGGAAAAAAGGAATTTTTTTTAAGGACAAAGGGTAATGTATAATTTCTTTAAAAAAGAAGATTTTGCAAGGTACATAAGATGGTATTGTAGTATTTGTATTAGAAATAGAAAACTAGAATGTTATAAGAATTAATAAAAGATTAAAATATTGAAATGTTTAGTAATGATAGACTTTAAAATTTAACAAAATATTAAAGGGAATGTTTAAAATATTGAGTTTAATTAAAGAGTTTAATTGACTATTGTGTTGATGTTATTATAAACTTATTACTGTAGCATTTGTTTTTGAAATAGATAATTGGAATATTACAAGATTTAATATTTAGATTTATTATCTAATTATGTATTTAATCATTTTGGATTTATTATTTTTTCTTCTTTTTAAAAGTTAGTAGGTAGAATGTACTAAGCAGAATCAGATTGGGTACTAGGCGTTATTTTAAATGTTAATTTAGGGGGACGATAGAAAGGCATCATACTCTGATTAGTGATTCCAGGAGAAATCCTTTGTTTTTTTACTATAGAGAATGAGATAAATGGATAATTTGGAAAGAATGGACAAAAGATACAAGCACAATGATTTAAATTAAAATGAATTAAATAAAATAGAATTAAGAAGAGTGAAAAGCGGGGAGAAGCTATATAGAAGATATAGAATGGTAAATAAGATAGGTAATGGTATATAAGATGAGCACGAATTTAATTGAAGTCCATATAGAGAGAGGTAATCTGGGGCCAAGTTACTTTCTAAAAAGAAGTTTTATGTTTTTGTGTTTTGTGTGTTTATGTCTGTTTGAGAATTAATAAAACCTTGGAGGAATGTTGGATGAGAATAACGGTAACCAAGTCAGAGAGAAATGAAGTTGATAACTATAAATTGGATAAATATAGGAAAAAATAATAATAATAATGAAATTGAATAAGAGTAAAGAGAAATAATGAGAAATTTGCTAAGAGATATTTATATGTTCATATGGAAATGGTGTAAAATAGAATTATGTTGTATAAAATAATGTTTTATTCGACTTGTAAAATTTATAATGGAAAGAGGTTTTATGTATTCAATGGTTAATGATGGTTTGTTTGTCTTTAAAATTAATAAAATTTGTTTCAAAAAAAAAAAAAAGAATAAACACAAAGCTAAGGAACAAACTCTTATTTCAAGCAGGACAATATCAGATGAACCAGCTGGCATAACATTCTTGATCAGTGCTGCATTTCAAATATTTTTACCACCGGTTCGGTGGGCGTGGCTTGGTGGGCATGCTTTGTGCGCACGCACACACTTTGCACAGGCGCAGAGGCTTTTTGACTCACCTGCTGCAAGCCTGCACTCTCCCTATCACTTCAGCAGCTGCCGCGTGACAAACTGCTTGCCGTGCAAAGCAGCTGCGCTCCAAAAGCAGGGCATAAAGGTTAGTATGGGAGCCTGGGCGGACAGGTGGGCCCAACAGCAGAGCATCGGAGAGAACTGGTTCGGTCTCCGCTGCTCATCGGCGCTAATTGCTCGGCAGAACCGGTAGAATATCACCACTGCTCTTGATATTTAAAAATATTAAAATTAATGATGGTTGAATGGAATTAATCCCTCCTCCAATGCTCTATGTCCCCAACAGAAGGCATATGGACATGCTAGAAGCTCTGACATGTTCTTTAGCATCTTTCTCTCACTTCAAATGGCTGTCAGAAAACATCATGTTGCTATTGTTCATGAAATGGAAGCCTGAAGTGACTACTTGTTAGTGTACCTTAAGCAACATTGAATTGTTCGCTGCTGAAGGAATCCTTCCAACTGAAATTCACTACTGAATGCAAATTATGATAACTATATTGATTGATGTATGTACTGTGCATCATTGGGCAAAAAATGTTAAGACTGTGAACTGGAAAAGCTGATTTATGTGAACAAGAATAAACTGCATGATAACCCATAATATCAATCAGCAAATTCTATGTGACAAAGACTAATGAATTAAGGACAATTCAATGATCAAGTTTGAAATTTCACTGGAACATTTGAATCATATTATTGACATTCTTCAGTATTGGAAGGTTTCTACAACATGGGTTTGTTGCATGTCATGATAGAAATGAAATCTTCAAGAGCTGAAATGTACAAGCAACTATTGCCAGGCTATGCAAATGAAGGTAAGGACATTCTTTATAGTTTGGTGATAGTTGACAAAACATGGAATCATTTTTATGAGCCAAAAATGAAGTGTCTGCCCATGTAATATCATCAAAAGGTTTCACCTACTGTACAACAAAAAGTCAAAGGCCAGACTTGGGCAAGTAAATTTATTGTTATAAATTTGGGGATGCAGATGTTTTTTTTAATTTATGAAATTTATTTGCCACTTATTTCATATCCAATGATTCTGCATGACTTGGATTTTTTTGAACCTAACACTACTTCATGGCACTAGATTGCAACACTCAGCATTTTGGAACAATGATTAAGCACAGTTCAGGAGCACAAAAGGGTTGTTATGTCGTAACACAACAATACATTACAAGCAACCCAAGAAGTGATTGCACAGTCTTACAACATCCCCATACAATACAGGCTTAGTATCATATGAATTCCACTTTTCCCCAAAATTGAACGAATGTTTATAGGGACATCCGTTTTACTTAAATGAAGAGGTGGAAAATACTGTCAGTGCATAGCTGTAGAGACAATGAAGTTTAAAGTTTTTTCATGATGACTTTGAGAAGTTTGTTATTGTTGGTAGAATTTTCTGACAGTTAAATGAATTAACCAGTAGAACAGCTAGTTTTCAGAAGTGGCTAGTGCTCCATCACTAGAGGTTTTTAAGAAGAGATTTTAAGAAAAGACCCTATGCCATTTGTTTAAATGCTTGAGCAGGGGAGTGGACTAGAAGACCTCTCTTCCAACTCTGTTATTCTGTTAACTACATGACTATGTGGAGAAGCATATACAGGTATTCCGTTTCACTTATTAAAATATTTCTATTTAAATTAAAGTTAAGTGAAGACATTATTTTTCATTTAACCATTGTATGTTTCCCCTTTCCTTGCCCTGCCATCTGACCAATCTGAATTTAGTTTTTCAATTCTCTACCAAAGGCAATGAAGTCTGTGGCCTTTTTCGCAATAAACTAAGACAACACCTTGTGTTGACAACACCTGTGAGAATTTTTTTTCTTTCCCACAGCCCTGACATGGCTGTGTATATTTTATATCTTAGTTTATCTCAATCATGTAGCGATCCCACTTATGTAACAAAAAGAAAAACAGAAAACTGTAGCAAATTATTTCTTTACCGGAAAATATGCTCCAGCACAGTGCTATGACAAGGCATCAACACTAAGAATTTGCACTGTTTTTGTTTTGTTATGAGAAAAGGAAGGATGATGTTTTCCTATTATTCTGAAAGAAATTAAAATGTAGCCTTTTCTGCTTTTTCTTCTTTGTAAAAGTAGTGGTCAGTGAGAACATTTTCTATTAATGCCCAAAATGACTGTCCATCTTTTAGAACTGAGAAAAAACAGGTAGCATGGAGAAAATGGAGGAGAATGAGTGAATTAGGAAATGGGCAAGAGTTGAAGAAAGGCATTACGGGGAGGCTGTGAAGAACTAGAACATAGAGAAGCATGAGGAAGAAAGAGTAGAGAGATGGAAGAAAATATGGTTGAGAATAGGTAGGTAGGAAATATAGCAGCAAGTGAGCATAAGAAGAAGAAAAACTGCTGGGGGAAGGATGGGGTGGAGTGGGGAAGGTATGTAGAGTGCCTCGCTCAGTCCGGATTTATGAAGCTCAAAGGCGGCATGTTTTGTACTATGGTAGTCAGTAGTGATAACTACTGATAACCAATTGTATGTGGGAAGGTCTTGAGGCCTTAACTATGAGTCTAAATAAACTCCTACACCACTAGTCTGAGAGGAAGCAGCAAAAAAAGGAAGGTTCATTTCTAACATCTTCTCCTCTGTAGTGAATAACTTTCTGATTTCATTCAAATATTTGGAGCACGGAAACTGCCAAACTGGTAAACAATGTCAATCAATGGATACAATAAATACAAAGTATTTATCAGCAAGGACACTAAATTTTCAGTATTTTTTAAATAATTGTTTTGAAAACTCCACCAGAAATAATTTTTAACTCTTCCTTCCCTCATATTCCATCAACTTCATAACTTTAAGCAAACTACCACTGAGAAAATAGTAGTAATAATAACAGCAACAATGAAAAAAAGGTTAAGTCCACAGGGCACTTCACTATATAAGCAGATTGTTTACATTCCATACCCCACAACAATTGGACTCTCCAGTAATCTAGTAATAGATGCTTTATTCTACCATAGCTAAAATGTAAACATGTTTATTTCATCACTTTTATTCAGTTTAAAAATTTGGTAATAGAATATTTATTTTTAAATTTGTTTTATATGTACACTGTGATTTAGAGGCACTAGAGACAAATTCCTTGACATCCAATCACACTTGGCCAATGAAGAATTCTATTCTATACTAGTCTGTTCTGTTCTATATTCTATTCCATTCTATTCCATTCCATGTATTGTTTGAGTACTAATAACTTGCTACTGATATTTACCTCTTCTCTGTGGATTCAGTTCTGCTACTTCACCTAAAGCAACTTGTTTTTCCTGAATAGAAAAAAACTGTATCAATTGGAGGCAATTTATAATAACACTTATAATGACTTTATTAAGAAGATTTTTTTATTAATAAAAACTTTTCTTTTATTGTTTCCTTTTTATTGTTTCCAGCTGCTTCATGTCACACATAACAATAATGTGTTTCTCCTAAGAACCTATTAATCTCATAGGAGTGGATTTGATTTTAAGGGAAATTATAATTTCCACAGAATAATGTAATCATTATTTTTCTAATCATTTTTGCAAATGTATACGTTCACAGAAATATTTTACAGATATACCATGTTGCCATTGACCAAAGATGATTTGAAAACCTTCAGCTTGTCTTTCTGAATTCACATAATAAATTTATAAGCTCTGTCAATTATTTCATGCATCGTGTCCTATTATGTATATATTCTTGTTTCTGTTGTCCACAATAAGCAACTAAAAACCATCTAGAAAATAATTTTAATATAATTTAATAATTTTCAAATTAATTTTAATGCTTTAATTTCAATTTTAATAATATAAAAGAACTGGACACTAGACTCTAAACGACTGTGTCTTAGTCGATTTGAGATAAGGTTCACTTTGTAGACAAACTAAAGTATCTAGATTATCCACACTAAAAGGACAACTTATATGAATAATTTGATAAAATGAATATATATATAAACCATATGATTTTACCCGAATGAGATCACAGGCCAGGATCAGAAGATATGATTGAGTTTTTTCATTAATTTCTATTTCTGTATAGATCTCCCAGCTGCCATTCTCAAACCTTACTGGCATCGAATAGACAATCCCCTCAGGAAGACCAAATTGACCTATATAAAATACACAAATAACAAATCCATAATTAATAGATACTTTTTCTATGCCATTTGAGCATCACAAAAATATGATGCACATCCCTCCATTCTGATTCTAAGAAAATAAAACAGAATGACTAGAATTGGCTTTTAGCAATAAATACTCCTCTCTGGTCTAAGAATTACTCTCAGTACTATGATAGAGAGAGTAGAGAACTGTTCTAATCACTATAACCTAGGTTTAATCTATGTTTTCTAGACATGGCCACTAGTAGATATATAATCTACAACATGGATATCAAACTCGATCGCATCATGTGATGTATCTTGATGTATTGCAACATTTTTTGCCTTTGTGGAGCTGGGATGGGCATGGCCTGTGCATAATGCATCTGCCCCATGGGCCACCAGTTTGACATGACTGATCTAGAAGGTATTGTATTTTACAGATCAAAAGAAATGTTATTAATTCAGTAATAAAACTTTGTATTAAATCTTACTAATGCATGAATTGTTAGAAATTCGTCTATAGAATTGGAAAAAAACCAAGAGAGCATCATTATGATTGTTAAAAAGAATAACAACAATAATAAGTCAATTATTATTATTTCTGACTGTACCAAGTTGTTATTCATTAAAAAAACCCTCTTAAATTATTTCAAGTTCTCATTTTGCTTGAGGAAAGCAAATTGCAAAGCAAAATCCTTTGCTTGAGTATTGCTCGCACAATACTCCTCCAAAATAACGACTGATTATAAGTGTTGGGAACAGACTGATTGTTGTAATAAATATTATAAATAAGTTATATATAATTGAACAAATATGAAATATGCATGTAGGCCAGATGCATATGTCTACTTTTATCTAAAATAAGGTGAACAATGTATAAAGACAGAAACATTCATGTAGATTACACCTAATATTCCTATTTCAGTTAGATTTCTAAATTGAGATTCAGAGAATTGGCTCATGCTTAAAGTAGATCCTGTAAAATCACAGGATAAAACCAGTTTAGTGTTACAGAGGTTGTGACTCCTAGTTCTGCCTTGGACACAAAGCCAGTTGGATGCTCAGCCCTAAGGAAACAGGCAATGGCAAATCACTTTTGAAAACCCTTGGTAGGAAAACTGCAGGAACTAGACTAGGTAGCTTCCAGGAGTCATAACTGACTCGAAGGCACAAAATCATCACTATCATAATATTATCAAAAATGGCTGTGCATTTTACAGGTGCAGGGCTTTAAAAACACAGTCATATCTGCCATCTTGACTTTTTTGATTCCCCCTATAGGCATCCATTGTTGAAAATATTCAGCTTTCATGAAAAAGGCTTTAGTGACACCAAAAGAAGTGGGTCAGAAAAGCTTTTCAGGACATTTACCTTCACTAATTACTCCCAAGGAGATCATTTCTCCAGGAGGGGATCCTTGGTACCAGTATCTCAGCACAGTAGCGATTGTATGTGCAGATGCCATTCCTAAACCACGAGCTCCCCAAGAAGTTAGTGAACTCAGTGAAGCCACAAATTCAATTTGCATCCATTCACTGTTATCAAGAAATTACAGCTTTTTAAAAACATAATATAGAAAACAAATGTAAAAATCTCCTGACAAGATGACTGTCAATCAGGAAATTTAAATGAGCAGGAGGGGTCCTGGAGATAAGCTTCTGTGCTGGAGCACTCCTCCTGTAGAAACAGCTATCTTTAAACAAAATGCACCTTGTTATTATATTTAGAAAGCTGTTAAAACATTATTATTCAGGCAGTCATGTTGGTATCAGAGACACAATAATTGTGGTATTATGGAGTTAAATAAATATTATGACTTTAGAAACTTTATTGTCATGTATTTTATTATACTTCTAAGCTACTTGGATACAGATATCTGTATCTGTACAATATAGATATCTGTAAGAGATAAAAATTCAGGGAAACAGTATTCAGAAACAATTTTGGTGGCAAAATGTGTCTTAAAACCCATGAAGTAGAACTTTAAAAGAACATTAGATTAAAGCTGGACAACTATTTGTCTGAAATATTATAGGGTTTCCTGCCTGAGCACGGGGTTGGACTAAAAGACCTCCAAGGCTCCTTCCAACTTTGTTATTCCGTATCCTATGAAACTGCTAATTACCAGAGTAGGCCATTTATTTACTTTTTAATGCAATAACCTTATTTATTTTAAAGGAAAATACCAAGTTTTCAGTCAGGACATTTTTTAATAATACAACATTACATCTAGGAAAAGAAATATATCACAGAAATTTTAATTTGTCCCAGAGTTCTAGAACTCTGTTGGTAGAAATAAAGATATAGGAAGATGCCTAATATTAAAAAATGTTTCCATACTTTTACTGCTAATCATGTTGGGTGTTGAACATAAACAAAAATATTGATTTTTACAATGCAATTTTAAATTTAGACAGACAGCAATCTTAACACTTTAATGTTAGTCACAAAATGTTGGAAAATTAAATGTAGGAAATCTAAAGATAATTCTGAAAAGACTCAGACATATACAGTATTTCTTAAAGACAATAGTGCATAGGCAGATATACTTTATTACAGCCAAAGGCTGGCAGTTCCACAGCACATAATTCTTTATTATCTCATTTTTCAAATCCTTCAATTAAATGCTGCTTTTCTTTTCAGACTGCAACAAAGAGCCAAAAAAATTTTTTTTTAAAGAGACTAAAGGAATGTGAAATAGGTTAAGGACTGAAGCAATTATATGGCACAAACATTTTATATATTTTCTGTTTCTATGATGTTTCAAGAACTGCATAATACCAATTTTAAAACAAAATCAGAAAGAATACCGATCAAATAGCACATCCAACAAAGGACGAAAAAAACTTGGTGGGCCCCAGATGGCACTGTCATATCTATATAGCTCTGTTTTACTCAGATCAACGAAGCTATTGCCACTGATGTTCCCCCAAACAATGAGGTTTTTTATTCCTGTTGAAGACAACAATGGAAAATTTAAAGAACAAACTAACAAGACAAAAGATTAACCTATTCCAGCACCCTATTTGGCACTAAAATGCCTCAAACCCATAAGCAGTCAATAATGGTCCTAGTAATTGTTCCCCACCATATAGTTCTTCTAATTTGGAGGTGCCACGTAATCAACAGGGTCACCAGCATAAATAACAGCTATCAGTTGTGTGGCTTTTATTTGACTCCTTCACATTCTCTTCCCTAATGCACCAGAATTCCTTTACATTCATGCACAATATTGAACAACTTGTCTTCTGTGTATATTCAATCCCTCAAAATGTATAGCCTTGTGAAATCATACTATTAGTACCTAGAATCCATTTATCACCTTATGAATTAGGATCCTTCCATATGCCTTTAGAGAAAATAAAGGATGACCTAGGAGGAGAGCAACAAATCTGCACTTCATTCCCATGGCCCTGACTCCAATTTTCCTGGGAATATGAAGAGGGGTTTTACAAACAAACTCAGACTAGCTTTTTCTCATCCCCCTAGAGTGTAAGAGGAAGAGACATGGACCGATTATCAAGATTTTGTTATAGACTATCTCAATGAAGTATGACTCTAATCTTCTTGTGGAATCTCTTTCCTGATCTGTCTGTCCAGGAAGGGTGACATTAACATTGCAAGTCTTCCCAATTTTCCCTTTCTCCCTCTTATACCCAGAGAGTCAACAGGAGAGGACCAGGTGAAAATAGTTTAGGTCTCTTCCTAACACTCTTCTGGCTCTCCAGATTTAACATGTTTCTTTTGCCCCTAGTGTTTACCTAATGGCCTCTAGGCTCTTTCTCCCAGGTCATCTCTCTGGACTTCTACATACGCTTTAATTTTCATTTATAGTTTGTCTTTGTTACACTTTTAAACATGAGACAAAAACAGTCCCAACTAATTCAATGATTAAGCATCAATCTGTTACATACCTGCTGGGTGCATTTGTATTTTTCTTGCTACCATAGTTTTGGCTTCACTTTCCAATAGCATGGCTAGAGTGATAATATTTCTAGGATTTATAGAGGGCGCATATGTCATAAGCATTAATGACTTAAGGTTGGTAAAGGTTTTTCCCATCACAATAATTTTGACATTGCTTTTGGCATTCTGCTCTATCAAAGGGCCATATGTTTTACATTGATTAGTCACTTGGTGGATACAGTGTTCGAGTGTTGGGATTGTTTCCTGTAGGATGTCATCGAACAAAATGATAATATCAGCATCAAGGAAAATGTCCTCCAGTTCAGTATGTAAAGTGACACTACGAAGGACTGAGGATGCTAAATCTTGAGTCTCCATAACAATACCCCAAAGAATGTCTTTGAAAATACTTCTGTCAAACAAATGAAGGCTTATCTCAGTTTCCATTCCAAATATTTCTCCATTAATTAATAATGGGATCAGATGATAACAGGCAGGACTGCATGCTCTGATTAAGAAAAAAGCAATAAGGAAAACCATTAGTTCTGAAGCATTTGGTATCCACAGAATTTATTTTTCAGTTCATTGTGGGCAGGTTGATGGTAGTGGTGAAATTTTGCAAAGCAAGTGACAAGAAAGGGAGACCAAAGCCTCCTTAATCAATCAAATCCCTCACAATATGCAAGCATGCCTGCATGTCTATGTATATATTGAAAGGATAACTGCATATTATACAGCTAATACCCCATGTGCTGCTGCTCTTCTGGTTTAGTCCATATTACCATAAGCATCTGGAATGGAGGTGAACTAATTCTGAGGAAAACAACTACACTGGCACTGGCAGAGACTTCCCTCCCTTTTTAAAGAGAAATTTTGAAAGATAACTGGGGAGATTTTTATCCAATCTTTCAAATAAAACCAAGCTTTCATGTAGTTTTCTTGATAACAATATGGAAATGGCTTGCATTGCCTTCTTCCAGCAATTTTTTTGAATTTGCCATTCTAATCCATAGCCTAAAATCTAGATTTCCTGGTTATTTTCCATCCAAATGCAAACCAAGCTTAGCTTTTTGATAGTAACCAAATCCAATTATATGATCTGACAAAAATTAACCCCTCCACCAAACATTTGCATATATGGGTTTAGCATAGCATAGTTGAATGTATATTTGCCTTAGCAGGGTATATATAAACATGTAAGAAACATAATGATAAATATCTAGGAATTTCCCCATTTTCTTTAATTACAGAAAAATAATGGAACAAAAGAAAATCAATTCAATAGCAATAACACATCCTGGAGTTAGCAAAAATTTACAGATTCCTATTTTGAGCCAACTAAGCATCATGGTCAGATAGATGGCAACAACCATTCTGCTGTTTTCCCATAGCTAACGGACAGTCACAATCTGCAGTTGGACACTAAAGAGGAATTATCCAAATTCTTGAATGCCAATTTGGCAGTCTTAAAATCACAACAAAAGAATGCTCTCACTGGTATAAGTGCTTCCAGTTCAGCAAATATGACTCAGTAACTGCTATATTAAAAAAATGAATTAAAGTTTTTCAGACTCTGCTGTTTCTTTTTCATCTTCTCACCTATTAAGCCAAATGTGCAAGGGGTTGATAAGACTTTTTAGTTCTTTCTCTTCTGCTTCAATTTCTATGCAAGTCTGCAAGTTCTCATTAGCTATTAGTAACATCTCTTCAGTCATCATATCTGATGTGATGTTATAATATTGCTGAAGATCAAAAAGGTTCATCAATAAATATAATTTATCTCAAATTCTGAAGACTAAAACACATTTGATTACAAAAATATAGAAATAGTAATAATAACAGAATAGGAAGAACAATTTAAATTATGACATTAGGTGTCCAAGAAGAACAGTTTATACGTTAATAGTAAAATAACATGACATGGGAAGCATATTTTGTCAGATTTTATTTTTGCCAGATCCTTACAGAGTCAAGAGCAAAGACATATTCTTGGAGTTTAACAAGCATTTCTTGATCTATGGATTTGTTTTAAACCCAAATTTGAACTCACTTCAGAGTTCCCACAAAAAATCTAGTGACTCCATCAACATGCATACAGTTTTACCAAGGGAAATACAGACGTGTTTTGTTTTCTTCCCAGTTTAATCTACAGCTCTTGGATTTTCTGATGGTTTTCCTTTCAAGTCCTAATTCTGCATAGCTTTTCAAGATTGATCAAGGTTAGCTGCTACCACCAACCATATTGGCAGTTTACTTCCTCAAAATCCAGTCATCATTGTACTCAATTTTCTTCATTTCAACATCTTTATATTCTTTTATTCCTATTTTTAAGTAAATGGGAAACAAAAACTCTTGCTAATCTACTACATATCACCCATTAGTTTAGATTAACAGTATATAGGGTTCCACCACCAATTATCTTTGTGAATGGTAAGTTTCTTTAGAATTATTTTATCTAGTGAATAAAGTTTTACAATTATATACTTGCTACAAATATTTTGCTGATTACCAAAATTGATTCATTAATCTTCAAATAACTTCCTGTTTACTATCCTTTTCCATTTACTTTAACAATTCTATCCCTTTTTTATATTATGTTTCAAATGTCCTTCAATGAGATTCAGATATTTTACTGATATATTTAAATTCCCATTCACTAATTCCCTAACAGTTTTAATTAAACTGACTGAAGCATTGTGTGGTTAAACATACCATATACTGAAATTTGGTCAGTCTGAAAACAAATAGAAACAGATTGATGAGAAAGGAAAAGAAGCTAGCAAAAAAATCAATATGCAACAAATCAAAATGCAAATTTTTACCTGAGCATGTTCTAGAAATTCATTGAATCCTCCTAGAAGAAGGCCCTTTCCACCACGGTCCAACAGTTCTCTCCAAATAATTGGGGAGCGTTTGTGTTTCCAGCCATTCTCATTACAGATCTCCTGAAGCCACTTCTAAAGATAAATGCCCTCAAATTAAGCATAACATGCAATGCTAATATGTACAAATCCATAAATGGCTTTAACAGCCTTGTTGAAATAATCATCTTTACATTTCCTACAATTATCCATTTTCTATTCATACAGAACAAGAGGCTAGAGTTAAGAATATATTTCTGAACAGAATCTATGAATATGGATTCTGCCATTTTTTCTAAAGAAACAACAATCTTAATTTATCTCAGTTTAAACTGAAGCAAAATAGATGAAGCTTTGGTGTATCATCAACGTCACTTTTATCCATCAATTATTAAAGCCATAAAAAGCTATTGTAGATTTCCCAAACTTTATTTATGCTCCTAAACCATCATATATTTGATATGTTACAAATAATCAAACTCAAAGGTTAGCAGAGTTCATTAGCTTTCTTCATCATTGTTTCCATATAACTATTTTTATGTACTGTACATTTATCCAATTTCTCTCTTCTGCTACCTATAAAGATACTTCCAATGATTAATAGATTTAAAAAGTAGATAATCTCTTCACTAGCAAACCAGACTGAAATAATGTTACCTCCCAGTTGTCAGGATGTTGAACAATCTTGTGTATCCTGAAGTTCGGCAAATTTTTCCACAGATAGTCAGCTAGGAGTTCTGCCTTAGCATAGTAGGGGCAATCTGCTCTACCTGGAAATTAAGTAGTTAATAAGAATTGTACACATTTATAAACATGTGATTTTTTAATTGGATTTACTGTATATACCAGCTTTCATTCAAGAGCCCAAGGCAGTATGTAGCTTCTTCCTTTTTTTCCTGCTTCTTCCTATTTTTCCCCATAGTAACCACCCAATGCGAGAGGTTAGGCTGAAGGAGAAGGACTGATCCAAAGTCATGAGAAACTTCTAGCTGAGGGTAGATCAGAACTTGGGTCTTCCTCATCCTAATCCGAAACCTTGACCAAAGTAGAGCCATGGTAATGTTGAAGTAATTTGATATTAAAAATTAAAGAACATCAGAGTGTAATGATGATCAAACTACATCAACAACACATTATTTCACAGACACAATATTCATACATAACTTTATTGTAGATTTTATTGAAATAATTTGTAAAATAGCACTCAGTCAATTGATAGAATTAGTTTGATTTTGCAGCCCTTGGTTGATTAGAAGACACTGAAAACAAGCCAGAAAACAGGCTAAAGTTAGTTTATGTAATTGCTCCTACTGTATTTAAGCAGCAAAAAATTCAGAAGATTGGAAACAAATATTTAAAAGTTTATGTCTCCTTTTGCTACTATCTACCCGTAGCAGTTGAATGGATTGTGCTGCCCAGGTTTAGCAGGCCTAAATATTGTACAATGTTTCTGACCCAGCAGATATCGCTGGGTCCATACTGTTAAGCCATGATTTGTTTAATCAAGATTTACTGAATAATCTGCAACAGACTGAATCATTTCAATAGCTGGTTCATACAACCTGGAATGCTACCACCAAAACCCAAAGTAGATTTTAACCTGAACCCCTGAATTTGGTTTGCTTAAATTACATTCTCTTGGTAAATTACTTTATCTTAGGTAGAACCCCAAGTCAATTACTTTTGCTTTGCATTATTTATGGATTTGGGTTTTACCTTTGCAATTTGACAAGCCTATTGGAGGCTTATAAATACAGTGAAAAATAAAAGAGTCAGTTTGGTACAGTGATTAAGGCATCAATATAGAAACCAGGAGACTGAGTTCTAGTCCCACCTTAGGCAGAAACCAACTGGATGACTTTGGGCCAGTCGCTCTCTCTCTCTCAGCCCTAGAAAGGAGGCAATGGCAAACCACTTCCGAAATCTTGCCAAGAAAGCTGCAGGGACTCTAGGCAGTCTCTGAGAGTCGAACACGACTGAATGGAAGGGGGGGGGGATTACTTTGTCCTAGATAACAATTACTCGAATTACTTTTTCGCCTTGCACTGTCTGTGTTGCAGATACTTATTTATAGTATCCGCAAGCCGCCCCATCAGTCTGGGCGATCTACAAAGAAACATGAAATCAACAGGAATTCAAGGAAGAAAAGGCGACGTCAGTTTAGCCCAAAAGTATTTAATCATCCCCAACCAACGGCGGGGGGGTGGGGTGACTAAGAGTCGCCATGTAGGAGATCTCCTCTTCACCTGCCAGCACGAACTTCGCCATCGACCAAGAGCCGCGGCCAGAAACCCGCTAATCTGAGGCGCTGCGGAGGGTCGCTTAGCAACTAGGCGCGCACAGTCCGACGCAAGACGAAGCCGTGGGGCCTCGGAAACTGACTTATTTTGTCCACTTCAGGGAACCGTACCTCAAGAAAGGAATCTTCCAGTCGCGTCGCGTGTGAATTTACGTCACCCGGCTTCTTGGTTTCGACAGTCTCGCGCGGTGAGGCAAGTAAGTGGAATTGGGCGCTGGACAGTCTGGCACGGTGAAGCTCAAACAACGAGAGTCAAGCGGGAAACATAGAGTGAGGAGGAACAAGGGGTTTGAGAACAAGGAAGGCGGCGGCGTGGCAAAGACGCCTTGTCCTTTTCTCTGTCCTTAGTGCAAATTCTCAGCCCTGGAAAAGTTGCGTGTATTTCACAGTGGTTTCTATATATTTGAACAGACAGCTGAGAATTCAGTAAGTAGAGAGTGACGTTGCTTCTGTTGGTCCCTTAGCTTATATTCCTCGATCTTCATAGCCTTATTTTCTGGCTATGAACTCTGAAGCTTAGTCTTGGAGACCAGGGGTCGCCAACCTTTTGGACCTGAGGGACCACCAAACTCATAATTTTAAATCCCACGGACCAGAGACCCTGGGAAAACCCCCAAAAAAGTCTGCAGGAAAATTCCCCACCCCGTTTTCCTACCAATCGATCATTCTTTATTTGGAATCACAGGATACCATGTCCAGTTCCATTCTCAGGGGGAGAGAGACTTTTGGCTTCATGCAAGAAAAGCAGCAGAAGCAGCAAAAGTCTTTCTTTCTCTCCCCCAAACTCCACCAGAAATGAGTCTTTGTGAGACTTGTGCTGGCGCAGCCTCTTGGTGCAGGATGCCTTGCAGGGTCCCAAAGACTGATTTCTGGCAGAGTTTGGGGGAAAGAAAGAAAGACTTTTGCTGCTTTCCTTGCGTGCAGCCAAAAGCAGAAGAAAGAAGTGGAATGCCTCTTGGGAAGCTTCCAGTTTTCGAAGAAATGAACACATTTACTTGCTAGTGTAATTCTTACATGGGCCTGTAAATGTACAAAACTAGAGGAGTTAATTAAAATGTGATTTTTTTTAAAAAAGACTACTAACCTTTATTTTAAAATTAACTTATGAGATCTAGTAGATTAAAAAAAAAAATATCCGAGCAAGAAAACAGCTTCATTTTCTTTATTTCTACAACAGTTTATTCAAGAAATTTCCCAACTGAGACAAAACTCAACATTTAGAGGCCAAGCCATGAATAGCTTTCAGAGTTTGCAGTCGCATTTACTTAGGTGAAAGTACAAATTCTGAAAGCCAGCCTGAATACTGTACTAAATTTAAGGGTTCACAGTTTTGTCTCATTTGGGAAATTTTGGCCCAGGTTGGCTCAGTCTTGCAGTACTCAGCCCTCTCATTATTATTTTAAATTTAGTTAGGTTAGCACTTCATTTGGAAAACAGATGACTGTATTACTTGCAGCAAAACAAAACAAAACACCACCTTAAACTGATTGCAATTGACTTCATGTACTGGTTAATGAATTCACTTAATGTTATGTTAAACAGCTGCATTCTGATTTTCTTCTTTAGGGTCAAATAAGTTTTTCCAGACAAGATATTGTAAAGAAACAGCAAGATGAACAGGAAACTGGAATATTTTATAAGATCAATAAGAAGGCTACAGGCATGTCACAATGCTGGGAGATCTTTTTCTAGAAAAGAAATCAAAGCAACTGCATTTGGGATTAGTGGACATAAAAATTCTGCACAAAGTATTCAGTGTCCATTGTATGTTCCTTCTTGCTGGCTTCATTCTTCTATTTCAATTAATTCTCAAAAAACTTTTGTTTATGTTGGGAGCAGTGATTCAAGTGAGCAGAAAATAACTAATGATCTTGACCATGAGCAGAACTTGAAACCAGTTCAGTTGAACTCCTCAGAGGAAGTTAGAAATACCATTGAAGAAAGGGATGAATTTGACATTTCCCAGCAATTTTTCAGTGACCTTCAAAAATGTGTATCTCCTTGTGATGTACTAGACATTGCTGCAAGAAGTCAAGTCTCTTCAAAGTATATCAGTAACTGTTTTTCAACTATGTGGATGCTTAAAAAAAATACACTTAAGAATCAGAAATATGATGAGACAAAGATGATGCTTGAACATCCTCAGTTTCGACAGCTCTGTCAGTATACGATGGATAATGCAAAGTACATAGATAGCAATGATTTGGCACACACACTACTTTCTGTGGTAAAATTAGGAGTTCCACAAAATACCTTGTTAGTTCAGACATTACTGAGGACTTGCCAGGTAAGCAAAAAACAATCTAGACAAAATTTAAGGATGTTTTAAAATAAGGAACACTTCTGGCTTAAAAAGTTAAAATTTATTATTTAGTATGTCTCTAGACTTCATATATAATCTTTTGTCTTTAAAAAAACTAACCTAAGACATTCAGTTTCATTATCTATGCATTGAAAAAGCTACTATTGATTTACGATTTAGTCTATACTCCTTTATTTGAAAATAGAACTGAATTTAGGACTTATTTCCAAACTGATATGCATCACTGGCCAGATGCAACACTTAGTCAATCAGAATTGGGCCTAGTTTGTACCCAGGAGTCTTCCAGAAACTATTAGGTCTGGCATCTAAACTAAATCTAGACTAGAAATGGTATTTTTAAAGAATGTCCCAGAAAAAGGTTGAATTTTAGGGCAGCCCTAGAACAAAAACACCATGTATGTGGATGGATAAAAAGATATGAAAAAGTTGAAGGAGCTTTCTTTTGTTTTGATGTCTTTATGGCAGCTAATAGACAACAAAAATGGCAGAACCCTTTTACTTGGACTCTAGCAATCATTCATTGCAGGTGCCCAAGAGTTTTTATGTGGAAGAACAGCTGATTTGGTTAGCTGGGACATGTAAGCATGGGTGATAATTTAGCATGTTTGAACTTCTCTGTAGCACATGAGTGGGCAATTTGTTAACTGAAGATAATTGGGAATAACATGCCTTCTTTAGACCAGTTTCAAAATGAGCTGTATGCAAGAGATTTGTTTAGACTGGAAAGAATTCTCTGTCCTATTCCTTACTTCTTGTTTGGCTCCGGCCTTATCTATTACTTGTTTCAGCCTGCCTACAATGCAACCCAAAACAGATTATCACTGAGGAAATAGGGACCTTAACAAAAGTTGGCTTACCCTATTACTCTGGGGTTAAATTTCCTGGACTGGCTATGTATTTCTTCTGTATCTGATTCACAAGTGCGGACGGTTACTACTTTATAACTGTTATGACTAATACTAATTAGGCCATATTTGACTGACTATCCAGAAACAAAATATTTAGGATAATGTTTACATGTTCTAATTGTTAAGACAAAGAGAAAAGAAAAAAGTATTGGCAATCTTATTTTTAAAGTAGTCTCATTGACATTAATAGAATTCAAATGAACTATGTAAAGTCATTTAAATTGATCTACAGTGTGATTATTATCCCAACCCTCCCTCTTAGGTTCTCAATAATTTACGGTATTGCTTTAAGTCATTTCTGTTATTTGTAGTGAGTAATGGTTTCATTTGGGTTCAAAGAGTCAGGGAAAATGGGAACGGATTTATTGAAGTATAGCCAGGTTGGAATGGTTAGCAGCAATGAGAACACAGTTGGAATTGCCACTTTTATTAGCTCCATTGACATTATCCCTTTCCCTGTATGGCTTTTCTGCAGAACAGCCCGAACCCTGATTCCACTCCCAGCTCTCTGGTTTATAGCTAGAAAAGAAATGGAAACGCCTTTATGCTAGCAGCATACTGCATGGAGCCCTATATTGAGCAGGGTTATGCGGTAGAACATGTGTTCTTTTTTAACGTTAGAAAAACTGAGAATGCTCACTGTACAATTAATAAAGCACTTACAAATGTGGTACTGTACATTGTGGCTCTTTGGACAAGCCCATCTTACGTGTACATTGTGGCTCATTAGGACAAGCCCACCTTACGTGTGCTAGCAGAGAGGGGCTACTTCAGATCCCGTTGGACAAAGAACTCTGTTGGGATCCAGATGAAGAGCCCTCTGTGCTGCAGGGCCTGCCCTTTGAAACATTTTACCCACTAAGATCTGCTCCCCCCCTCCTATCATTCCACAGAGAGCCTGAAGCCTGGTGCCAGTTGGCCTGGGCACCATATAGAAGAGTTCCACGTTGGAGGTGGATTGCTGGATTGATGGCAGAATTCACTTCCCCCCCTTACTCTCTGCTCTCTGCCCATCCATCCTTTTGTTATCATATTGATGTAGTCTTGTGTTCTGTTTCATTTTTTTTTTATTTTCTTCCTTTTTATTATTTTAAACTGCCTAGAGTAGTCCCATGGCGAGATAGGCAGCAGATGAATTTAATAATTAAATAAATAGTAGAATTTGCTTTGTTAATTTTTCCTTGGGCCTATAATTTTATCTTTCCATGAAAATTTTCTAAAATGAATTTTGAATTTTTTAATAGGAACGTGTCAATGAATTCAATGATCGATCTGTCTCAATTATTGCAAATACTTTGAAAGTCATGGAAAAATCCAAGAATGTGGAAGCTCTTCAACTTGGACTACAGTAAGAAAAGACTTTAGTTAAGTTGGTACATTGGTATTCATCAGTTATTGGGCACACTTGTGGGACAAGTTTCTTCCTAGTTAAATAGTTGTAACTTATTGCAGTGTATATCTGAATTGAGACATCTTGAGCTTAGTCTTAATTCCAGTTCAAATTATAGGTTTCTTTAGTAAACTAAAGATTAAGATTAATCATAGTTTAGCATTCAGATGAAATACTCATTAGATTTTCACTGAAACTGGGAACTTTTTTCTCCTTGTGATAGTGCAAGGAGAAAGGGAATTGGTGGCAGAGGTAGTATATGAGGTTGAATTTAGTGATGCATCCAAGATGTGGCCATAATTAAAAGGAATAAGAGTTTAGAACTGTAAATTTAAATTGATTAAATATTCAATAGGATACTTGAAAATTAAAGAGGTTGAATATGAATTGAAACTTTGTATAAAATTGGTTCAGAATGTAAAATGGAATTTATATAGAAACA